CATTATATATATATTATATTATATTCCCTCTCTCTAGAAACTTTCTGTGGACTGGCAGTTCATGAGAATGACAAGACTATTGCTGGGATTAAGATTTGCAAAAGACTCTTTGAAACCCAGGAGGCCCCATCCTTTGAGGTCCAGGAGATGATAGCTCCACCTTTTAAAAATAAGAAAGCCCCATTTCCTGTGCTCTCATCTCTGAGTTGTTCCAGGGTTGGTCTTTTTATTTCCTGGGAGGACAACAGATGCAGCTCCTTTGGCCTGTTTCCTGCCTGCAGAATTCCAAAAGGCAGACAGCATTCTTTCTTTTCCTTCTTTGTCCCCTTCTGTCTAAAGTGATGGGTTTTCTGCTATGGTAGTTGGGTTAAATCCATCAGTCACAGGATTAATCTCTTTAACAAAAGATTATGTTGTCATCTCTTTGGTGAACATTCTAGGACACACGTCCTTTGTACAACAAAATTTTCCAAATCTTTAAGTTCTGTTTTCATTTTGCATAGTTCAGCTAGATATGTAAGTTCATCACTTCTAAGTTCTACCTTCCACCAAACATTTGAAGATAATTCAAACAAGTTCTTTGTCACTGCATAATAAGCATGGTCCTTCCTCCATTGTCCTACGCACAGTATTATTTTTAAAGCCTCACAAAAAGCACCTTCAGTGTCCACATTTCTAGCAACATTGTGTTACTGGTGCCATATATATTCTCTAAGATGATAAGAGATTTTCTCTGTAGCACACTACCTTCTGAGCTTTCACCAGAATTGCCTTTGACATTCATAATTCTACCAACAGTCTCTTCAAGGCAATCTAGGCTTTTATTATTGGCACCTTAAAACTCTTCTAGCCTCTACTCATTACCCAATTCCAAAACCACTTCCCCATGTTAGGTATTTCTTAGAACAGCATCCTCCTCTTCCAGTATCAAATTCTGTCTTAGTTATCTAGTGCTGCTATAACAGAAACACCACAAGGGGACAGCTTTAACAAAGAGAAATTTATTTTCTCATAGTTCAGGAGGCGCTGACTATAGCAGAAGGCTTTTTCTGTCAGCTCTGGGAGGAAGCCCTTGCCTCTCCTAAGCTCCCGTTCCTACACGATCTTCATGTGGCTCTGCATCTCTTCCTCATCTCTGTTTCTCTCACTTGTTTAATCTCGCTTGTATCTCCACAGAAACTGACTCAAGATACACCCTATTGTAATCTCATCTCACTAACACAACAAAGACAATCCATTCCCAAACAGGATTATACCCACAGGCATAGAGGTTAGAATTTACAACTGGCATTGTTTGGGGACACAATTCAATCCTTAACAACAGCTTGAACCCAAAAGAGAAAAAATATTGTCTTGATAAATTATTCATTCCTCTCGAGGAACCTCAAGACAGGATTTAAAAAAAAAAAAAGAAAAACACCGTATTGTTGAGTCCACTGTGACTCATGGCAACGCCGTGTGTTACAGAGCAGAACTCCTCCTTATGATTTTCTTGGGTGTCATCTTCAGGGAAGCAGATCACCAGGCTTTTCTTTTACAGTGCGGCTGGGTAGGTGTGAACTGCTAGCCTTTAGGTTAGTTGTTGTTGTTGATAGGTGCCATCGAGTCATGTCTGATTCACAGCAACCCCATGCACAGCAGAACGAAACACAGCCCAATCCCGCGCCAGCTCCATGATCCTTGCTATACTTGAGCCCACTGTCGCAGCCACCGTGTCAATCCATCTTGTCGAAGGCCTTCCCCTCTTTCGTCGACCCTCCACCTTACCAAGCATGACATCCTTCTCCAGGGAATGGTCCCCTCTGACAACATGACCAAAGTAGGTGAGACGAAGTCTGGCCATTTAGGTTAGTAGGCTAGTGCAAACCATTTACACTACCCAGATGACATTTAGAGAAAATTTAGGAGGGAATAAACGAATGAGATCCTCTTGTAAATAGATAATCTGATATTTTAAGCTTGGACAGGAAGAAATTCAGTCACGTTGCCAAAAGCATATAAATGGAAAAGAACAGAATTAGCAAGAAAATTTGAATACCTTACTGTCCCAGTTATAATGGTAGCCTAAGGTCACCCAGCGCAGTTTCTCTAGTAAACTTCGGGGTCTCCGTTTATTCACTTCTTTATATCTGCAAAGATTGATGACAAAAGATTTATTCATCTCAAATGGCAACAACAGCTGTATGTATGGACTTCTGGGTCGGAATTAAGTATTCCATGATATAAGTTGTTAGCCAAGACCATGGTAATGGAAATCACAACAGATAAGAAAATGAGCTGACCAAGAAAACAATAACAATGAAAATGTGTTTCTAATTTCTAGTCCTTGGTTCTAAACTCATTGCTGAATGGAATCAACTTTAAACGGCAAGTCTCCGGCATCTCAATAATGAAAAGACAAGAATGACAACAGGAATGTCTTACCTATATATGGGAAATGGGACCAAGAGCACTATGGGTAACTGAAAATTCAGCTAACAGTGCATTCTCAATTTGGTTTGCTACACATGGAACATTGTTAATCGTAGTTATCACTATGTGTGTAATGACGATGGCTTCCCAGAATTGCAGGCTGGGAAAAAACAAAGTATGGCAAAGTACAATATACAGTCAAAAATAGTTTGGCATGATCTCTTTAACCCTGTATAAAATATACAAATTTGGCTAACAATGAAGGCACTACTATAATTGATTTGGTTTCTGACATCCCCTTATTCAAACCACAGGAGGTTTCTGTGAACAGAGAGGTGCCCTTTTTGCAATTATATCCTGTCTGATAAAATCTATGGGATTTTTTGAAAGAGGAAGTGTTTGGTTCATTACTGAACAACAAAAAAAAAAAACAAACTGCCATTGAGTCAATTCTGACTGAGAATACCAGGCCTAATCATTTTTTCCTTTTCTTTAAATATTGAAACTTACTCTGTTGTTAAGAATATACACAGCAAAATATACACCAATTCTACAGGTTTTACAAGTACAATTTAATGACACTGATTATATTCTTTGAGCTGTGCAATCATTCTCACCCTTCTTTTCTAAACTGTTCCTCCCTCATTAACATAAGCTCACTGTTCGCTTAGGTTCCTATCTGATCTTTTGAGTTGCTGTTGTCATTTTGATCCCCTATAAAAAGTTATTTTTCTCTCTTTAATGGAGACATGTATGGCTACAGATTTCCCTATGGGCACAGCCTTTGCTGCATTCCACAAGTTTTGATATGTTATACTTTCATTTTCATTCATATCAAAAGTATTTTCTAATTTTCCTTGTTTTTCTTTTCCTTTGAAAAGAAAAGTATGTTAATACTTTTAATAGTATGTTACTGTTTAATAGTATGTTACTTAATTTTTACAGATTTGTTGATCTTCCAGTTTTCCTTCTGTTCCTGCTTTCTGATTTCATTCTATTGTGGTCAGACACTCTGTATGCTCCCAAACTTTTAAAATTAATTCCAACTTGTTTTATGGTCTAATAGATGGTCTATCCTGGAGAATAATCCATGCACAAAGAAGAATGTATATTCTGCTGTTGAGTGGAGTGTTCTATGTATGGCTGCTAGGTCGCGTTGGTGTCTAGTGTTGTTCAAGTCCTTTACTTCCTTACTGACCTTCTGTCAGTATAGTGTATGCATGATTTAAAGTAGTGTATTGAAGTAGCCAACTATTATTGCAGAAATGTTTATTTCCCTGTTCAATTCTGTCAATATTTGCTTCTTATATTTTGGAACTCTGTTGTTCGGTATGTTGATACTATATAAATAAATAGTTCTTAAAACAGCATAATGTTCAAGGCACACTTTTTGACAAGTTAAACTACTGTTCAGTTTTAAGAAGACTTCAGGGAGTTTTTAGTTTAAGGTTTAAAGATTATCTCAAGGCAAAAGTTTAAGGGGTTCATCCACTCTTCATGGTTCCATAAAGTCTACAGTCCATGAGAATTTGATATTCTGGTCTGAATTTTCTGCCTTTTGATCAGGATTCTCCTATTGAATCAAAATGTTCAGGAATGGTAGGTGAGTACCACCCAGTTCTTCTGGTCTCACGGCAAAGGAGATAACTGTTCATAGAGGCAGTTCTCTACACATTCCATATTTTCCTCCTATTCCTGACTCCCTTTCCTCTGCTCAATTGTTGTGCCTAGGATGGCCACTTACTAACTTTTAAGATCACAGGCAGTATTCACTAGGATGTATAACAGAAGTACCAACATGTTTTAGGCCGATTAACTGGGATTTGCCAAGAAACTTTGATCCTAAACCTCCAAATCAAGGAACCAAATCCTATGAGATACCTGGTTGTACAGAAGCAGCCTCAGCAGCTACTCCTTTTCTTTGTTGTTGTAAATATCCATACAACGTTTTTATAGGTCTAAAACTTATTGACAGCAATTATAAAAATCAGCTGTACAAACCTACCTTTCATCAGTGTGCAATTTTTTCCTAATCAATTTAATTTACTTTGCTTTTCTGTACATAATTTATATTACTAAACAATCAAAAAACTTTTTGTCTAAGAAGCACTGCTGCCTTAAAGAAAAAAAAAAAGATTAAGACTCCTTGCCTTTAAGGAATTTATATTCTGACAGAAGATGACAGATATGCATAAGAAGAATTGAGGGAAGAATTCAAAGCAGTATAAAATCCAGACTTTGAGAGCTTCTACAACTCAGAAAAAAGAGAAGTCAAAGTCAACTGTCTAATCAGTTAAGGTTTCACTTCAGAGCTGGGAGTTGAGCATGGCACTGAAGAACGGCCAGCTTTAATAGGGAGTGATGCAGCAGGCAATATGGGCACACAGCATGAACAAAAACAAGGCATTTATTGGAGGTCCACTGTGGTGTAGTAAATTACTTAGTGTGGCTTTTCTACCCATAA